CAATTTCAATCTCCTAGAGCACTGATATATTTGTCACATCAGTTTTGTCTCATTCCACTACCCTTCTCTCCTATTTAATGCCTTCACATGTGTCATGATTGCCTTACATGATGCATTAATAAGCTATCATGACTTTTGTTTTATCCTTAGATATTTTTCTTGATTTACTTGGCTCTCGTCTTTTGGAGTTTCTTTATGGCTTTCTAGAACTCTGAAAAATTATTCTGTCTACCCCAAAAATTCCTTCTACCCTTAGAAAAAATCTATAAATTTTCTCAACCCATAACACTTCCTTTAAGCCTTGCATAAAAATCATTTACTAAAATGTCCTTTTATCAGTGTAATCGGCTTTTTAATTTATTAAAGCCATTCCACTGGCCTTTTGGTTACAGGACTAATTATATAAATTAGTATAACCTTTCAACCATTTAACTTCATTTTTGTGTACATTTTTTAGGTCTCTTGTTATTTTAAATAGTTATCTCAAACGGTATAATTTTTACTAGTCATAATCTCATAAATTTCATTTAAGCTGCCTCAGGGGTATTTTCATCATTTCTCTTCACAAAAGAATCTTAGAATATTATTTCCCGTTTTCTAGGATTTTCTTAGAATTTTATGTATACTTTCTATTTTTACCCTGTTAGCTGTAACTTTCTGAATCTACGGTCTAGTCTCTATTTGGACTTAACTTCATACAACCATCTCTTTGAGGTTTCTAACCTACCCCTTGGCCTATTTCTATTTTTTTTCTGGGCCTTTAAAACTTTATTGAAGCCTTTAACTACCTCAGTCCCTGAAAACTTTCACTTTGCAGTTTAGTCTCTAAAACTGCTTTGACTTCATTTCTCATATTTGGGACTTCTACTTAAAAAGGGCTTAGTAATCTACTTTTTTTAGGCTACTTCCATGACTTTTCGGTCTAAAAATTAAGATGTGACAAACAACCTACGAGTATGAATAATAAGTGGAAAGTAGTTACCTCTTGCCCACTAGGAAAATGATTACCACAAGATTAACCCCATGCTCAAACCAACAATCCAATAAATTTAATCTACACAATCAATATATTTGCATATCAATACACAAGCTATTTAATTAATTACTTGAGCTAATATATATATATATAAGTTAAAGTTTCTACTTTTATGCTAAAACCCAAACCTCTCATAACCCATATATATACAGATTTTTCTCAAATTTTTAAAAATCTGAAATTATAATATTTAAAATTTAAAAATCCTATCTCAAGTTTAAATCTCAAGAACTAGTCATTAGAAATTCAATATACATCAGATACACTTGAGTAAAATTTAGTCAACAGTTTCATAGTAGAAATATCATATTTTTCACAAATAAATATCTGTTTAACTAAAATAATTCATTTAAAAATATTAGGTCAATCAAAAATAAAACTAAACTGATAGAAATAATCAACTAAAATAGCTCTACAATACTATGCTCATCTATCATCAAAACTCAACACTTGTTTCAAATCCTAAACCCAAAAATTCTCTCTAATCAATACAAAACTATCATCATTAGATAGTTAAAGATTAGTAGAAAAGCTTTTACGTAGAGAGTTTGATGAAAAAAATTCATTTGACTTACCAAAATGACCTGCAAATGTTGAAATCCTAGTGACAAATGAGAGAACGGCGCTGGAGAATGAGAAAAAAAAGGAGGATGACGCCTCTAGACCCCACCGCAACGGGTAAAAAGAAATTTTGGAGTAAATTCCTGTTAAAGACCCCGTGTTAAGATGAGCCGAGATTACAGTTTAGAACCCTGTTTTTTCTTTTTTCTGTGCATTTCCTTCCTTTTCCTTTTTTTTTTAATCCGTTTTGTTACTATTATTTAGTAAATTTTCTTGTATATATAATTTATAAACCTTATTTTCAGAAATTCTCTTTTCTTAAATAACTAGAGAATAAAACTCATTTATTAAACATTAAACTACTTCTAAACTTGTTTAAATACTAGAAATAAAAACTAGGAAATTACCTTATTACATTTAGATTTAGTATTTTGCATTTTAGTTTAGATTCATTCCATTACACTTTTCATCATCTAAATTCATATCTAAATAAAGCCCCATAAATTGCTCCTTCGGAGAATGACCCAGGTGGCTACTATGTTGCATTTGTAGTTGATCTTAGTTTAATTAAATACTTTAGTGACAAAAGCATCATTATCACCAATGAATATGCACCTTCGATCTCCAATCTTTGATGACTACACAACCTAACTAAATGGCAGCGACAAAATCTATGTTCTTCTCATCTTCGCAATTTTCATCTCTTTTGGTTCTTTGATTTTCTGACATGGTGTTCTTCAATCGTCGATCTCTATGCCTTGATTTTCATCTCTGATTTCTTCAAGTTTTGGATGCTTTCAATTTCACTTTTTGTTGCCGTCGATTTCATTCTTTGATTTCTTCAATTGAATGCTTCCAATGATAATAAAGGTTGTTGGATATTGGAGAAAATTTTCTGGGTATTTTCAACGAAAGAAGTGACATGAAGCGTGCTTTGAGATTCTACCAAGAGAAAATTTCGATTAAGGACCATAAATGAAAATTAATCTCAAACAGCCTCCAAAAACTTCTGAAATGTCACTGCAGGACCAAAAAACAAAACTGAAATTAAAATTAAAAGTAATATTATAATAATACCCCTTATTTTTTAAAAATAAATATTAATAGTCGCCAAAGTTCCAGCCACCGGTGCTCAGGTGGCTGCCGCTAGAGGTTAGAGCTGCGGTAGCCAAAAGTTTTTTTTTCTTTTTTTTTTTTAATTTTAATAAGGTGGCCAAGTGAAGGTATGAACACATGACTCCTTGGCACACTAAAAGTGATGTAACCACCAAGCCAAGTAAACCATTTAATTATGTGATGCAAATAAAAATATATATATAACAAAGCAAACACAAGTGTCCAAGTGTAAGTGAACAAGTGAAATTCAACAATTTACAACAAAAATTTAGCAATTTACAAATAATATAATAGAATTCATAACCCAAAATGCAAGTGTTTAAGTGTAAATGAGTAAGTGAAATTTGAAGATTACAACAAAAGTCTATGGATTTACAATCCTAATTTGGCTATTCACAAGAAATACAAAAGAATTCACAACTCAAAATATAAGTGTTTGAGTGTGAATAAACAAGTGAAATTTAGCGATTTACAATAACAATTAAAATATTTACAACCCAAATTTAAGAATTCATGAGAAATATGAATACTTGTATTTGAAGTTATGAATTCTCTTATTAGTTTTGTAATGTTTATGTTTTTTTACAAATCACTGAATTTAGGTTGTAAATAGCTGAATTTCACTTGATCATTTACACTCAAATACTTACATTTTGGGTTGTGAATTCTCTTGTGTTTCTTGTGAATAGCCAAATTTAAATTGTAAATCTATAAACTTTTGTTGTAAGTTGTCAAATTTCACTTTGCTCATTTATACTTAAACAATTGTATTTGGGGTTATGAATTCTATTATGTTATTTGTAAATTGCCAAATTTTTGTTGTAAATTGGTGAATTTCACTTGTAAATTATCAAATTTCACTTGTTCATTCACACTTAAACACTTGCATTTGGAGTTGTGAATTCTATTATGTTATTTGTAAATTGTCAAATTTTTGTTGTAAATTGCTGAATTTCATTTGTAAATTGTTGAATTTCACTTGTTCATTTACACTTAAACACTTGCATTTGAGGTTGTGAATTCTATTTTGTTATTTGTAAACTGCTAAATTTTTGTTGTAAATTGCTAAATTTCACTTTTAAATTGTCAAATTTCACTTGTTCACTTACACTTGGATAATTACGTTTGCTTTGTTATATATATTTTTATTTGTATTACATAAATAAATGGTTTGTTTGGCTTGGTGGTCACATCACTTTTGGTGTGCCAATGCGTCATGGGTTCAAACCTTCCCTTAGCCACCTTATTTAAAAATAAAAAAATTCCAACCACCGGGTCTATAATAGTAGCCACCAGAGCTTCAACCTCCAGCGGCGGCCACCTGAGCACTGGTGGCTAGACCTTCGGTGGTCAAAACTCTGGCGACCATTAATATTTATTTTTCTAAAAAAATAAAAATGGGAGGTATTAAGTAATCTTCTCCTAATTTTAATTTCATTTTGGTCCTTTGATCTTGTAGTGACGTTTCAGAATTTTTTGAGGACTGTTTGAAATTAATTTTCACCTGTGGTTCTTAATCGAAATTCTCCCTTCTACCAATGGGGAAGTTACCCTGCAATGCTGGATGTGCGTTACTTCACTTTTTCGATCTTGATACAGCTTTGAATTAACCGCCAACTTTTTTTTTGGGGGGGATAATTTCAGTTTTTTGTTTTAATTTGATTAACACTTAAGTTTGTTGATATGGGATGATTTTTTTTATTTAATTTGGTGATGTGGGACGACTGTTGGTCATGCAATTTGCAAATTTGAATATGGTTATGTTAACATGGGTGAGTGATGAATAGTGTTTTTGAGAAAGTGAATACGAGTGACTGCGCTGACCTAGACACTAGCATGGCCCAAGATAAGACGGGTTTAGGCAACGATTGTGATATTTTTGCCCTCTTTTACATGTTCATGAGTATTTTTACATCTAATAAAAAGTTCATTGTGCTTAACACACATTAGATTAAAATTTATGTACAGATTTGCATCTTTACTCAAAATAATAAATGATAACGTCCAAAGGCACTTGCACTTCATAGCTGCAGGGATACATTATGGCCTCCTTGGATTATCACTTCATCTCCAGCTAAGTTTAATTTGAATTCAAATTAAGATTTCACAGGATTATTTAGGACTAGGACACTAAAATCTGTGCTGCATGGTCATTGATTCACATCAAACCAGTAGAACTTTGTTCGCGTCAGAAGACTTCATTTTTCTTCGTCTCTTCTAAACCACATGGGGTGCCTACCATATCAACACGTCAGAAAATTCTGTGAAGCACGCAACGTCCAGATACTTTGACTACACGTAAAATATTAGATCCAATCTTGTTTCTTCCACCAGTAAGCAATGTTCTTCAATAAGTCGCATTCAAAACCAGAAGAAAACCGCATATACTTAATGGGGCACTGCCATACTCATTTTTCATGCAATCGGTAACAGTCCCAATTAGAGAGACATGTGCAAGCAAAAATGTAGGATGTTCCGTAACGATACTATTCTAAAGCTCTTTTCTGTAAAATTCAAACGAGAGCTCAACTGCTGCAATGGAGAATAGCATGCAGCCATATATTTTGATGTCTGAATCCTAAAATATCAATGATACAACCTACAGACTGGCTTTTTGTTGTCCAACAACATAGGCCCTTCAACTCAGTTTCCCTTCGCAATGTTTTCAGCACCTTTAATGGCACCATCGGAAGTGGTTGTTGATGGAGTTTCTTCAGCACACGCCTTTAAGACAGCTTCATTCTTTAATAGAAAAATACAAATTTTCATAATATCAGCCATTGAATTGAAAGTAGAAGAAAAATCATACTCAAGGTATAAAAACGAGTTAGGCAGTTTTCATTTTGGAAACAGAATACGGCAGCTTCTAACAAATGCGGATGCATTAGGCTTGAAGCCCTAGAAGCATGAGACTGAAGGAAATAGCTCATACAAAAAGAAATAAATCAACACTATGCAAATATTTTCTTAGTGTAGTTATTGCTGCTAACGCTGCTTCCAAAACTTTACATCAAAAGTATCCCAAAGGCATAACCAATTGAAGTGAACAGTATCCCAACTGATCTGCTAGATATTTATGTGGGGATGGAGTTCATCACAACATATACAGAACAAAGGAAAAGGAAAACAAGTGTATCAAATCAGAAAAGCTCATTATTCTAACATGTATGACTAATGATTAACAGCCCAAAAAGGAGTATGGATCTCTAAACAAGAAAGATTCTATGTTTTTTTGGGGTGAAAGATACTGTGGTTTTTCTCTCTGTCCTTTTTAGCCAAGGAACCTATGGTTTTCAAAACCAGTCGTCCGTCAGTTCCTCGTTCAAGGACAAAGGACTCTAGATTTGGAACATGAGGAACGGGGTCGATTCACTCCCAATTTTTTGTATTGCATTTTTGCAGAACGCTAGATCTGGAACCTTATAGACTGGGTTGATCCACTCCCCAGTTTTTGGTATAGCATTTTTGCAATGACATTACTTCTTCATACAACAACAATCCTTATCCCGTGAGGTGGGGTTTTATGTATGGAAAAACTCTCCTCTGTTTCTAACTTTAGCTTGGCATTAAGCATTTAGTTTTCTAAATAGGGAAAATAGATCTGGAGGTCCCTATAGTTCACACACTTTTTTAGTCAAGTCCCTATACTTCAAAACCCAAGAAATGGTCCTTATAATTTACTTTGTTAGTGGAATTAATCCTTAGTTTCAAAGGACCAAAAACTGGTTTGAGCAGGGCACATCTAGTATTAACGGCATCAATTACATGTTGAGGTGGAGAAGTTTGCTTACATGGATCACACACATCAGAATAGATATTCCTAATATGCAACTGAGTTAAAATCTGAAGAAAAAGAAATAATCCGCTAGCTAGAAAATAAAACCAGTGGAGAGTTGTGAGCATCTCCAATCTTGCATTAGGCCCTAATGCAATCAAAGGATTTGAAGGGCTGTGTCTTGCAGGCTTCACCAGTCGCCATTGCATTACCGACATTTCGGGAGGGACATCCTCACTCAGGGAGCAAAGTTGAGACAAAACCAAACTACACATCTTAACATCAAAGCATATACTGCTTGACCAAATCTCTCTTCTCAACAGAACGTATTGAAACGTGAAAAAGTTGACCAAAGTATGGGAGACGCATGTAAAAAAGTGGGTTGCGCATGGAGGCCGAGGAAACTAAACAGATGCCAACAAAGGTGAAGCCAAAACTCAGGCATGCATGTATAAACCAAGCAGAAGACAATGAAATTGAGGCACTACAATTTCGAAATTCATCCACTGAAACTAGACATTACCTGCATCACCTTCCAGCTGTGGCATCACCACAGCTTCCTTTTCATGCAGTTGAACCAAACACAGTAACACATAGCACATGCAAGGGGTCGAAGTGTTTGGGATTTGGCCAAACAAAAGTAGAAATTCAAATTCCTCAAACCCAAATTATTTTGCAACGAACTAAAGTAATGCTTTCAATAAAAGAAAGCACACACTAATAATGCTAAAGAGAGAAAGTAATTCTTCGATTTTGCAATGTCTGGCAATATCAGATAAACTTACCATATGGGATTCTTTGATTTCACAACCTTGGGAAAATAGAATTCCCTCCTCACTCAAAATCCTCTGGTTACTGATGATCAACGACTTGCACGTTCACAGCTCTAGTAATATTCATCACTCACTCTTCCTTGCAACAATAGGGCTTTGGTAGGGAAGAGAATAGGTTTTCACCGAAAGCGAAAAAAAAGAGAAGAGAATAGGTGGAGCATGGAGATATGTGTGTGATGATAAAGCGCCCATGTAAGCAAATTTCTCCACATAAGCATGTAACTAATGCTGTTAATGCCAGATGTGCATGGTTGAAATCAGGTTTTGGTCCTTCGGAACTTTAAAGATTAACTCTACTAACAGAGTAAACTATAAGGACCATTTCTTATCTCAATTATAAGGATTTGATTAAAAAGATGTGTAAACTATATGGGCCTCCAGATTTATTTTCCCTTCTAAATTACAGGCCCATATATTCTGCTGTCAGAATTTAGAACTATGTTCTGCTTGTTTTAAAATTAAGGGTTGTAAACAAGTGCAATGATATACAAAACCAATGTCTATAGAGGAATTGTGTTCAGAGAGACACATAACAAGCGTAATGATATTTTAAAATAACATCGCTCAAAAGAAAATGCTAACATTTACTTTTATATTTCAGCTTGATTTAACTGCTTTCCAAGATATCTTGACAGTTAGTTTCATGAATGTTCTGCCAAAAAGGCATTTACTTGGGCCCTACGTTGAATGGTCTTGATAACAGCTATCCACTGCCAATTGGAGGAAATACAAAACCTAACTGCATCAATTCTTCAGGACATAAAAGCCATATATTGGGTGATATAATCTGCCTCATAGCTTCAGTTTTAAAACATTGAAACGTACATTTTTCCACTAAACTTGAAACAGCAGTCTCTCCCTCTCAAAAGGAAGTCATTTATCTGAGAATTGAGATTATGCTACAGAAAGGCGGCTTATATGACAAGCCTACCTCCTCTACTTGCTTGAATTTGGATGTTAAACTGAAACAAAAATTGTATATGGCACTGACATTCTAAGTACATGTAGGATTTAGCAAAGACAGTACCAGCGCTGGCGTATTTAAGAAACTGAGCAAAAACTTTCAAGCCAAAAGACCGTACATGGGCAATTTTGAGGGAATAGATACAATCGGAGATAATGAATTATATTAGAGCTAATGTTCTCGTCTTCAAATGAATGAATAACATTTATACATTTGTCTCATATTTCTCAATCGTCTCATGTTTGACCCTACCTTTTCCGGTGCTTTCATGCAATTCTTCGATTGAATTATAGTGGATTACCAGAACAGGAGGGGAAGAGACAAAAATTTCTGCCCCCTACACAGACATAATGTCACGGCAGCCATGTTAAAATAGCAGACTAACTTGACAAACTAAGGACAACTACATATACTACACGAAGCCCGGAAGAAATTTCTCACACAATAAAATCACTTAAACCAAGCTTGAATTTTATTATGAAATACTTGGCAAGGATTCGCAATTCAAATCGTCAAATAATTGTCAGAGCGCATGAACAATGGAATTGTGATAGCAGTTATTAAAAACAAAACATATGGAATACATAAAAACTTACTACACAGAACAAATTTTGTTCCAGTAACTATAAAGATTTCAACTGATTAACAAGAAAGAATACCGAAATTAAAAAAGTGACAAAAAAGGCCAGGGGCACCAGAAGACACCCTGAAGTAGCGCGCACTATGAAGAGAATGAGTAAGCAACAGTTCGTGCGTAAACCATCAATGGTTCACCCGTAAAAAATGAGGGAGGAAGAAGAAGGGACAAAAACTAAGAGAAACACAGGTAAGAAGGAACTTGCCTGCCAAACTCGATGAAGACGTTTCTTAGCATTGGCTTTACGAGTAGAGGTGAGCTTTATTCTCTTCCACACCAGGCCTCCCGAATCATGCTTCTTCACAATCTCCAGCACGCTCGAACCCCAAAATGCACCAGCCATTTTCCTCCCTTTCTCTCCGCCTCGCCGTGGGTTGAACGATGAAAAGAGAAAGAGCCATTAGGCCGAATGGGCCGAGAGTTGAGCAGATTCCTTCGAAAATAGTACAGGCCCACTGCCCAACGAAAATTACGCAGTGATTACGGCGGAGACGAACTTGATCCACAATGGTGTTTAAGTCCAATGCTTTTTTTACTTAATACTCCTCCAAGTCCTAATTGAAAAATTAATATTGGTCATATATATCACATCTATTTTATATATTTATTAATTTTTTTAAAATTAATCCTAATAATATTTTCTCAATAATAATCAAGTAGAGAATAGAAGAAAGGAATAAAGAAAAATACTTAAAGTGTTTTAGGAAAAAAAAATTATATTAACTTATTTAACTCATATCTTGAATTCATTCAAATTAGTTAATTAGGTCTTACACTACGAAACAAAGGAGTAAAAGATTAAACATTAGGATTAATATAATTTTTGATCCCTAAAGTTTGCCTTTATTTTAGTTTTGATCTTTCAAGTTTCAATTCATATATTTTAGTCTCTCAAGTTTTCTTTCAATTAAAATATTAGTCTCTATAATTTAATAAAAATTTGAACCAATATATCCCTTGAATGACCAAAATCTATAGTCTAAAACTTAAAAAACTAAAATCAAAATGAGAATAAATTTGAAAGACTAAAGATTATATAAACACTAAATATTATGTTAGACTAATAAAAGTAAAAACCCAATGTGGTCAGGTCATACGAGGCATAGTACGGACGCAATTGGATACACAGGAACGAGAAGCAGCACACATGAGACGTGAAGGACTCCAGACATAAGACATATGGCCAAATAAACAAATTGGTCGACTTAAGGGCGCGTTTGGTAGACTAAATTGATTTTGGAGGAAATGGAAATAGATATGGACATGCATGCATATGGAAATGAAATTCAAAAGTATGTCTGCTATGTCATGGCAATGAGATAATTTTTATATGAATGGACCAAAATGCGTTTCTACATTGAAAAAATAAAAAGTCTCCATAAGAACAATAGAGTGAACCAACTCGCATCTCCATTTGAAATCTCAACTTGCATTATTCAAACCAAATCCAATCAAGCTCAACAATATTAATCAAACCTAGAAAAAAAAAATCTCTTCAACATATGAGCAATCGAATGAAACCACAAAAAAAAAAACATTCCATTCACTAATTATGGAAACTTAGATCAAAATCAAGGAAGCAGAAGATTCGGCAATAGATAAAGAAGATGAAACTGTCATGGCACGTTTGGTTCAGCGCATTGCATCTGAATTCCTTGCAATCCTGATGCAATGCCAACTTTCACACGTTTGGTTCGGACATTTAGATTGTAAAGCAGATTACAAGGTGCATCAAGATTACTTTAAATGATGTAATAGGGATTACACTGTTAAAGGTCAAGAATAAGGATTACAACAAGTGGGAATTTGAGAAAAGACATTATTTATCCTTGCATTTTCCATCATATTTCTCCACCCTGATCTCTCGCTTATCTTTAAAATCTTCCTCCAGCTTTCACTCCTAGCCTTTCCACTTAGAGAGAGAGAAAGGTTGATCTAAAATGGTATTTGGGGTTTGAATAGATGACATATCGGAGAGATGTTTCGAGAATTTCAGAATACAAAATGAATCAGTCTTCTGAACTTTGTTTTTGGTTTTTACTTCTTATTTTTTTGATAAATAGTTTTTAATTCTTTCCTGTTTTGATTCAATTTTGCTAAAAGACATGCAACCCAAAACAGAAAAGCTTGTTAGAAGAAAAGCAATAGACACTCCTATTCTCATGATCCGAAAAGAAGAACCTTGCTCACCTGTGTGTGCTGTTTTGTGGGCCCATAAACTGATCAATGGAAAACAAAGAAGTTGCGTTGAGGGTCGGTGATGGATGAGGAAGAAAGAGGAAACAGATACCTAATTAAAATTTTATCTAAGTTTAGGGGTATTTTTATCCTTTTAGTTTTATTTGTGTTTAATTAAATATAAATAATAAATTAAATTTTATCATTCTTAATGTTGAACCAAACAATTTTATTGTAATCATCATTACATTACATTACATTCCCAACTATTACATTCCATTGCATTCCGACATATTCCATGAACCAAACGGGCCATCAAAGATCTGGTGATAGACGATGAAGATGAAGCTATTGTAAATCTGGTCATTGTCTTAATTCGACGATAGTGATAGAGATCCAAAGGTTTGGATAAAAACAAAGGCCATGCATCGATATGCATAAATTGCAAGTTTCACACCCTCAAACGAATAGCACAAGCTTGAAATAGAGGAAGGGGAGATCACTAGTGATATCTTGTCTTGGGCTTCATCAACGAGGGCTTGCAAATTGAAGAGAAGACGACCAGATTTGAAGAGGGGTTTGCTGGAGATCACCACCAAGAGTTGATGGAGGTTGTCATCACTGGTTGCTGGAGTTGTCACTGCCGGTTGCTAGAGGTCGTCGTCAATGGGGGAGACGAAAAATGATAATGATGTGGAGTAGGGTTGAGAGAGTTGAAAAATGAGAAGGACGTAATCTGGATTTCATAGGCTACATGATGGAAGCCAATTCCAAAGCATCCTTCTATTTATCTCCTTTAGTATGCATTTCGAAGTATTATAATTCAAGCGAATTAGGAAACAAGTCAATACATTGAAAATTTAAAATTTGATTCTCAGGTTACTATTTACTGGTAAATTTCATATTTTTGGTTCAACTTCAAAAATTCATAACTAATTACAGAAAAAATCATATTAAGGTGATTCAAGTCTCTATTTAAAGCCTTTTTAATTTTCTATAAGAAAAAAAATACTCATTGGTTCATTTTTTTTACCCATTCATTCCAAAATTATATATGAATTTATACTGTTCATTTGGTCAAACAATACGTTTTCATATTTTTTGCCCTAAGTTTAAAAAATCCTATCTCTTAGTACATACATCTGTGTTAAGTGATCTACCACTTATTTTAAACCCTAGTATGTGTACTAACTGCTGACCAAATTTCATGGGCAGATTCATTCATTTACTTTACCTTTATTTTGTTACAAATTCATTGCTCATAATGGGAAAGTTTATCCCTTTACTTGCATTAACATGCTATAAACTTTCTTTATATTGCATGCTACCATTCCATCATATCATTGATCATTTTCATGCATCATCAAACTCATTTATACATGTCAATATCATCATTTATCAAATAACATCATAGTCATGTTCATTACACACATCATCATAAGAAATTACATAACATAAAATAAGATAACACAACATTTCTTAAACTCTTCTTTTCTTCTTGATTCTATACCTTGCCAATCCTCTTCCTTGCTCATGAAACCTATTATGGTTGGTTAAGGGATAGTGAGATTCGGGAGAATTTCAATAGCGAATAATAACTACCCAAATATACATGGCAAGCTTGACATTCATAACATACTTATAAACTTCACATCTTTATAACATAATGACATGTTTAGAAACTATCATACATTGAACATAAATCACATAGGCCTATAGCATAATTTAAACATATTCACATTCAAAATATATGAGTTCATAAAATCACCTAAACATACAAACATGTCTTACATGCAAGCAAATACCAAGTACATAAGAGTAGGGTAAAGTTTATTATCTTTAGCCTTTTACATTTAATCTTTCTTCTTGTCTCTTTTGCTTTTAGCCATCAAGGTTGCTGAATCAACCTTTCCATTTCTCTTCCTTTATATCTCATGGCCCTAAATGCATCAACACATCATTGTCATCCATTTATTAGAGTCATGGCATCAATGACATTCATACTTTACTCTTTAAAACACTTTAGCCTTTAACTTTTGAGCTTTAATTCCAGTCTTTTCAAAATTAATTTTACATGCTATTCCCCTATAATTTTGCATGTATAATCCATTTTCAAGGTCAAAATTACCAAAATCTAACTCTTTCGCCTTCACCAAGACACGAAGACATGGCCGAAGGGGTTTTAGAACAAAATTTTATTTTCAATTCCAATGCTCCTAAACAGAATTTTTCATTCTAAACACATTGGGAGCGTCAAATCAACTAGAATCAAACTCCAACCCTATGAATCCCTGTTGGCCAAACCATATACTCTAGGTAAGTAATCATGAAATCTTTCATAAACTAAGTTAAAACATAAGTTTCCTAAACATTTTCTATCCTCTTATCCCTATGCCATAACAAGTTATGTGGCATTTTGGGCAACAAGGTTCTCTAGGGTTTTTAGCTATTTTCAATTATCCAATTCAATCCCAAATCATTCACTAATCAAGATAATTAAATCCTGAATGAATGCTTTAACTTACCTTAGATGATTGTGTGAAGGTTCTTAGTCTTCTTCTTCTTTCTTTCCCTTCCTTTTCTCAAATTCAAGAGCAAAACCTTCCTTCCCAGTTTTCTCTAATTTTTTGAAATTAATTTGAATTAGGAGGTATTTATAGACAAATTTTTGACTTGGATTTTCTATTTTTCCCTCAAAGTTGCTTGAAATTACAAGGTTCTTGTGGCTTGATCTCTTACCATCTATTCGAGCCTCCTGCCATGTGTTCACATCCTTTGCCATATGTTATGTCACCTAATGTACATTTAATCATAAAACAATATTTTATTATAATTTAACTCCTTCTAATTATACCCTTAGACAAATTATATAATTCCTTTTATGTCCCTTCATTAAATTAACATAAAAACAAGGAGGAAAATAGGAAGAAATTCATGCTCTATCTAACCCTTGACTATTCCTTTATTTTACAATCTTACTCCGTATCGAGTATTTTTTTGAGTCTTGACATACCCAGTAACATTGGGATATATTCTGGCATCCTTTTTTATCACAAATAACTTCACATGGCATTATATATACATGTAAATAGAGGGAGGCGCTTTTCTCCTTGTCTTTCCATTAAATATTTAATAATATTTATTTTGAAATAAACTTGATTGAGTTCTCTCTGTTGGTTCATGATTCTGAAAATT